ATAACGTTGCTCAGCCACGCTGTCCTCACGTGCCCTCTAATCCAGCAGGCAGCGTTGCCTGAGGAGTGTTTTTAGGGCTGCAGCGTTGATCCACTACAGTAGGTCAGTTTAAAATGCACATTAATGTGCATATTTGTTTGTAACAGAAATAGTAAAAAAAAAAAAAAACACAACAAGGTTGGTTGAAATCCACTGCAACACGGGGACGTTTAAGGCTTATCCACTGACATCCAAATCAGCACACCAATCTAAACTCACTTGTGATTATGTAATATTATCGGAGATTTGATCCTGCGGCCAAAAAATAAATTAATTAAAAAATCCGCCCCAAAACGGTTCTGTTTCTCACGCATGATGTCATGTTGGATTCCTTGTAAGCAGGTTATGCAGGAATGTTCCCGAGCAGCAGGAAGAGCTTCATGCAGGCAGTGTAGTTTTCTGTTGCATGTGGGGGAACGGCCACGACAAATTCCATTAAATAAATCACAAATTTTAGTCTAAATATGCGTCTCAACAAAATGCATTTATATTAAAGAACATTTGCTAAATACTGAGGCTCTTTTTGTTCACTCCGCATTCATAAATCCAGTGAATGTGAACCTTGTGGTGCTGGTTCTCACGCATAATGATCCACTATTAAAAACACCGGACAGTACAGGGGCTGGAATAAATATTCGGAAAATAAATAAGTGCTAAAGTTAGTGGGAGAAACAGTTGACAAAAAACACCAATATCTTATAAAACAGCACGTTCTCAACGGGCATGCGCACTTACGGACAAATTAATAAAATATATTAAAGTGCCTGATTTTTTGAATGGAGGCTGGTCTGCTACAAACGTAAAATGATGTAACAGGAGGTCGGAGCAATTATTTGAGACACAAAACTACCTGCACCCATGTGTTGCAAAGCAACAGCAGTGGCAGTACTGGGGCAATAGTTATTCACATTTTGGGTTGTTTTTTTTTCTCCTACGTAGTAGAGCCTCCTTCAGACCGAACCATGCAGTTGATGCTACTACGATCAGCGTCAAGCTGACGGGAATAACGAAAGCCCCGAAATAAAGTGAAACTGCATCACATAAAAAAACGAGCAATTCTAGATTTTCATCTAAAAGGTCCGCTTTTAACATCCGTAACATTACTATTTTTAACATCACCTCAGCTGTTCTAAACTATCAACTGCGCACCGTACCTATTTTACTATACGAGGCAAAAAAAATCAAAAAATCAAGACGTTTATTTTGAAAAGGAAATCACTATTTTTCCGGTTTCGTTATGTCTCATTCTGGCTGACTTGCCGCAGCTTTCCACCACCTCCTCCCTCTCACAGACAATGAATGGAGACAGGTTTTGGGGAATGGACAAGCCCATGACCAGCTCAGGTAGCTTAACACCCTAACATTAATTATATATATATATA